TTCTGTGTCCAGAACCGCGCGGACGGGCATTCCTATATGAGAGGCGATCCTCGTTTGAAGGGCGCGAGAAAATTCGATAGATTCTCAGAATCCGAAAGGTGATGCCAAAACGAAATTGGACGGGCCGTCCGGTGGTACGATGGTCCCGAGATTTCGTGGGCCAACGAGGGACATCTCGGACGCATTCCTAGAAATCGAGTGTCGCGTATGGAATGTCTTACTATCGATTGGCGCGAGAGCGTTTTAAGAATCGAAAAAGGGGCACAAGAGACGGACTTAGGATAAGTAACAGCTGATCACCGTTTCAGCCATACGACTATTGGGGAACTAAAATAATTTCGAATGACGCGCATTTACCAACTGACCCCGTTTAACCCATTAGTATCGTTATATAATATCTTTTAAAGAACCTTAGAAAGGAAGGTATCGAAGACGCAGAGATAGATAACATTAGCCATTAGCGACAGCAATTCTCTTAGACCAATGCAATTAGGCTTGTCGATAGGTAGAAGGGTGTCAGCTGTCTGCGCTCGGAGAATGGACACAATGGGGAAGTTAGTTGATCCTCATTTACGGAGCAAACCCTATGAAACCTAATTATCGGAAGCGTAGTGCTCTCTCCGCTTCTAGTTTTGGGACTGACTGATCAAAGGGCCTTGTTGCGTTCGCCGTAGCTCCATAATAAAATTAAATTAATAACGCTGAACCAAAATGTGCCGCGTGATTGAACAAAGCGTACATGATTTTTGCTCGAAAATCTGGTTGTCATATCACATTCATTACATTACAATATAAATTTGTAGAATCTGGCGTACAGTTTTTCAATCTTGCGGCTTACTGATTTTTTTTTTTTTTTTTTTTTTTTATCTATCAGGAATAATCCGCGGATCTCGTCGCGCTATTCGTTTTATTTTTAAGACTTGGCTTTTAGACTTGAAGATATCAATTCACAAATCCTACAATTTTTGGATGGTTGTATTTTCAGCTTGTTCACCGTCTTATAATTTTAATTGTATTATACTATACTATAGTATTATTGTATGTGAAGGTAAATACGCGAATGATCGCGAGCTTGAATTAGAACGAAATTACTAGCGCGAATCTACTTACGCGGACAAATACAAGTATACCAGGTGGAGGAGTAGATTGGATAAGTAGAATGAGACGCAGGACGGATGGTGGCTCTTGGTAGAATGGCTCGGTCGCAAGAAAAGATAAACGAAAGTCAGGAGCTGACTACACAGGGCGATATCGTACTCTCCATTCCGCCTCGTCGAGACGACGCGACGCGACGCTACGAGGAGAAACGCGGACGGGAACGACGAAAGAACAGAATTCCGACTCGTGGGAACGAAAAGGTGGAGGCTGGGGGATTCGAGTCGCGCAAGGGAACTTTAAACTTCGCTATCTCTGTCGAGGCGGGAGTACGCAACGGGACCATACGTGTAAGCTGCCGCGATATCGATCTTTGTGTAGCGAATCTCCATCGCGGAGATGTCTCTTTGATGGTGGTTTTGACCGATAAGCTTCGGCGGCGGTTCTTATCTGACGCAGACAACGTGAAATAAAGCTTTGAGCAGTTTTACTTTCAAACAGATAAAAGAGAAGCTTAATGATTACAAACTCAAGAAAGGAAAACTATATATAACATGCATAAAGAGACGCAAACGAAATCCAAATATAATAATTGATATGTATAATAACAGAATTTTATTTCAATCTTCTTTGTCTTTTTTGGGTCATGTTTAATTACGAGAATTATTGGACAAGAATAAGTAATATCTAATTTATTTTCTCACATTTATCAAAACTTTGAGTTGTTATTAAAAAAATATTTATATATACATCTAATTCCAAAGATATTCTTTTTGAATAAAAAGATTACGCGCAAGGGATTGCGACGTTGCGGTAATGCGATCAGAATTATCTTATAAAATTATTGAATATAGAATTTCAACGGAAACATGTAGAGAGAAGAGATGTAAAGGCGTCCCGTTAAAAATTCCCCCGCGGGGCTTAACAAGATATAACGTTTAACGAGTCCTTTCCGAGCTTCGTCTCTTGCCGCAAGTAAATCGAAGATAAACCTCGGGATTTAACCGGGGCTTAACCTATGCTAAGCGTGCTAAACCTCCTAGCCTAGACTCGACCACATGGATGGCTGATTACATAGATTACAATGCAGTTTAATTGAGTTACGTCGCTAATGGCCGCAAACAGCGCGTTTATTTTTTTTGTTTTTTCCTCTTTTTATTGCTTTTTATTACGTTTTATTGAAAAAATCTATTTCATGTATCTTTATTACGTTTTATTGAAAAAATCTATTTCATGTATCAAGATTGTGTGAATTTAATCGAAAAAAACTCCATGTATATCAACACGCGCATTCAATTCACATGATCGTGACATGAGTGACTAAGTGCTCTAAAATGCCTAATATATTATCTCTGATATTTTATTTGGTGCTTTATAGGGCATATGAATTGCGAAGCTGAAATATTAAAAATTTTTTCGAGCTTGTTTTTCTGAATCACTTGAATTCATGTTTTTTTTTTAATATAAAATGGGAATCGTTTTTTATTAAATACATCAATATCGATATGTAATACACATTTCGAAAATAAGCTCCCCAATTGAGTGTTGATCTCGTATTGGCATTCTATTGCACATTCTAATAATACAATAAGATAAGTTTATTGGTATAATCAGTTAATCGTGCACAAGTAATTAAATATCTCCGCACTATTGTCGTGAAATCGCGCAAGCGAAAAATACAATGAACGAGGAAAAAGAAGGGGAAAAGGGTTTCAATGGGGGACGACGTCGCGACGCGCCGCGCCTCGCCTCGCCTCGCCTCGCCTCGCCTTGCCGTGTCGAGCTGCCAAGATTATAAAACAATTGAATAAATCTACCCCTTCGAACGGCATGCAGAAGAAAGAAACGCGTCCCGAAGGGGTGGAAGACAGAAATGAGTGGAAGAAGGAATCTCTGAACCTTCTCCTTCGCTTCGCCCCTCGCGCATTTCCCGGTCTATATCCCAACCCCGCCAACTTCTCCAAGATTCAAATGGCCTCGTTTCAAATCGATTTCGAATTATCTTCGGCGAGCGGATTCTGGCGGAACGGGAGAGAAGAGGGTCCGCCGCGCCGGTGTAATGGAGGAAACGGTAGTGAGGTAAGAGGTATAAGAACGAAATGGCGGTGAGGAGATGATGGAAGGGAGGAAAGAGGAAAGAGGAAAACGAGGAGCAAGGTGAAAAACTTAAGGGACTTTTACTGGACGAGAAAATGTTTGCCGGCGAGACAAGACGCCCGACTGTCGTTTCTCGTCTGATTAACTAGGCAGGACCACTTTTACGGGCATTGCACTATGACGGACATACGCCGACTCTGAGATATTCCTCTCCCAACCCAGTCTGCATGTCGAACTTTTACCGCGCGTTCGGCATCCAGAAGAAAGAGCTAAAAAGATATATCGCTTAATACAAGGGAGGTAAATTTTTATGAAAATGCGAGAGAAGTAACGGAGTGATGTATTCACCGTCGAATTCCAAGAAAATGGTTCCAAATAACAAGTTCGATATTAGTTTTTAATAACCGACTTTGTAATTACGTTACGAACTATAACGGCGTTTCGCCAGCAACTAGCCTGTAAATTAGGTAGTAGATGGCGGTCGTGGAACTTTCGAAGGCCGCCTCTCGCCTGATTAAGCGGTTCGGCCTGCATTTGGCAACGGCACCGACGCGACGCGACGCGACGCGACGGCAGCGTATGCACCGACTCGAGCTACTTGTTGGCTCTGACGTGCGGCTGTTCCACTCCGCTCCGAGTTCGTTCCCGCTGCAAGTTTCAACGGAGTGCGATATTAGCACTACATTCGTCCCGCTTCTCATTTTGTTGCGAAAACAGGGACAAAGTAAGACATAATGGGGCTCACCCTTTTGGAGCTAATTAAAGCGGCAAATTCGTTACGGAGACATGTAACCGCGTGCGTAGCTCCTCTCGCGACCGGTAAAACTGGTAAAATCGTATTTGTCCCGCGCAACTCCTGTCAGATAACGCAGAATATGTTGTTTCGTTAACGTGCACGACATCATTGCGAGCAGCAATGACAATAATTTTATCGACGGATTCTTCGACAAACTGGGAAACAATTTTTCTTAAAAATATTGAGAGGAATATGTCGAGTTGTCCGTTGCAATTACAAATATATTTCTAATATTTACTAACTAACCCAATTAAATTAAATTTTAATTGTATGAAAATTAAAAGATTGTATTATCTCTTATTTATAGATATATAATATTATCTCTTTAATATTATTACTCAACAAAAACAGCGACTGCTGTTTCAGCATTTTCAATAGCGATAAAAAGACGCGATCAGCTAAATACATACATATAATCCAATTGATTACAATAAATTATAGCTGGTACGCATTAACATATATTATATTTATATGTTAGTACGGATACACGAACAGAAGCAGTCTGTTTTGTGAAAACTTCTAATGACACGTTATGCAAACATGACTCGTTAACTCGTTCGAATCGCCACAGTATTATATTGCGCGTTCAGTAATGCATACTTAAGGTACATGCTTCTTCGTGATCTTACAAGATACTTCCCTTTTGTCTTTCACGGCCATAAAAGCGCTCGTTTGGTCCACAGTGGCATTCCTCCGGGGGTAAAAAAAATGATACAATAACGAACAGGTCGTAACAGGCAGAAAGACATCGTAGCGAGACGCGCGCGCGGTTACGCTTATCTCTAATTTATCGCGAAATTAGAAAATAACGAGAAATGAAATCGCGCGCTCGATCTCGCAGAACAAGTTCTCTCGTAGAATAGAGGATTGCTCTTTTCTCCTTTTCCCTCTATTTATATTTCTCCCTTTCTCTCTGTCAGCCGCTTGCTAATACACGCGTATCAGTATCGCAAGAAGTCTCATTTTCGTTGCGCAATAAGGTGATTTTAATTGAAACCTCTTCTTTTTACAGAATCAAATCCTGGCGCATAATACGTCGGCGAGGATTATCTGGTCGAATCAGAGCCTCGTCTTGCAAAGTGTAACAAGAAGCAGTGCTGGTCGCTACGTCTGCGCTGCAACGAACGCTCTGAACGAGACGCGCAGCGAGCCGCTGCACTTTCGAGTGAAATGTAAGTTGATCCATGATTACAAAATATTCCCAACAACAGCCTTCGAAAAAGAAAATATTTTCAACTATCTTTTATCCGTCACAAGATTCTTTTTTACTGATAGTAGACAATTTCTATTCCAACTTTTGTATAAACATTTATTATGTATATATACTATGTGCTGTATGTACTGAGAATCACATTTGTCGTAAATATTTTAAGAGTACTTAGCATCGGCTACATTTTTTAAATCCAATTCCCAGAATATAGCCGACTGTCGACACGAGAGCCGCCTCTAAGTTCCACGAAAGAAGTGATTCGTATATATACCGTAGCTTACGGAATAGGGCAGAACACGTGCGCGGTTCTCGCTCTTGAAAACTCTCTAGAGCACGAATTACGAAAGCGGCCCTCCCAAGTAAGAGATCTCAAACGAGAGAGGCATGAAAGGACCTCGTGCACTTTTCTTGTAGGACGCACAATTTGCGAGGTATTTGGAAGAAAATCCGAATTCCGTTTCCAGACATTTTTCGGTAAAATGTCGCTTCAGTTTAAGAAATCTCTAGGATACTCGAGAATGTGCTCTGTTTAAAAATTAAAATATTAAATTAAGAATTTATCATTTTTGGAACGATAAAAGATCTCAAAGTACGGGATTAAAATCAATTGGATTTTCGTAAAAGTATATAACGTGAGGGTTTCGCGCGAGGCGTTTAATCTAATTCGTAAAATTATCCGGGAATAATTGACACGCAGAGCCATTTAGTATGAAACCTCGACACCACTTGCGAGATTACATACGAACTCGAACCTTGCAGACAGGCAAGAATCCTCAATATTTAACCGTGGATTATAACGACCTCGTAAAGATAGAGGAAATAGTCTTAGATAAGCCAGCATCTCGCGAGTATCCACGAATCGAAATCAGGAAACCACGGTTTCGTGATTTATTTCCTTGGATATTACGCCGTTATTAGAAAAGAGGAAATAACGTTACGTTTACGCCATCGACACTATAGTAATATAATGGAATTTAGGGTAACCGGGACGCGCAAGTGTATCTAAAGAAGATAGAATAAAAGCTTTCGAGTTTATACTGCGATTCGATATTACGTTCGAATCAATCGTTACAGAGAAAGCACACATGTGACGTAAAAGAAAGATAGAAAGAAATACTTGAATAATTTATTCATTATTGTCATATATATATATATATATATATATATTTTATTTTCATATATTTTCTGATTATTATCTTATACAATGTTTTCGAATCTGGGAGGGTGTTAGGTATATTGTATTTTTTTATTTATAACATTTTTTTATTTGCAAGGAGAACTAATTAGAGTCCCTAACTTATTCATAATAAAGTTGTCTCGCGTTTTCCAAAAAACTGCTTTCTCTATATTTATAAAATTTTTTCAAGATTAATAATTACGTAACAATAGATTATTCATTAATGTACAAACTTTGTAAATATTCCAAACAAAAATCATAGCGATTTACCAATTTGCACGGTAATCGGATATTACACATATACATGAAGGTTTAATCGAACAATATTAATTAATAACTATAACAAAATAGCTTTACCATTTTTTGATGTATAAATGTTAATTAAATTTTATGGGAACTAATTGAAACCACATGCTATAGTCAATATGATTATTTAACACGATTTATTGTTGACTTTAAATTACTCAATGTATTATGCGGACAAAAAGTCTACAGTTTGTCTGATACTTATTCTGCATAATCTCAAGAAATTATTCGTATTTTTAATTAACAAAAAAGTGATATCTATAATATAAAATACCGAATAAATATATAAATGACATTTTCCGTTTTCGAGATTAACGCATGTAAAATAATTCATAAAATAAAATAATCTGTAGTCATTATATGGTAATTGTCACATCTATTTATGATTACCTACTGTGCATTGCAATATCACATTTATTAGTTTTAAAAATGATATACCTACATAGACTACGATTTCGAGTTAGTTTTATGTGGATGTCATCCATAAAAACCGTGTAATATTGTAAATACAATGCGTTTACAATTACACACGCGTGTTACACACACATATCTCGCACCTTTCGCGTTTACCTTTTTATCGTAAAATTTCTCTGACGGCGCTTTTGTTTCGTGTTGCTTGTTCAGATAAAAACCCGTGATCAGAGTTCAAACATGAGGCAATTGAAAATACTACAAATGGAACAATGCAGCGTTACGGGAGAAGAACAATAAGCCTGTAATGCGGCGCATTCCCTCCCGCTTAAATTTAATTTTAAACAGTGAAAAGCTTTAACTCTCATGGAATGCTGTATTACAGCCATCATCGAAAATTAATAACAATTGCTTGTCTTTTGCAAATCGAATTACGATAGAAAATGTGCAGTAATTATGAACGTAATAAAGCTGAAAAGTTTGTAATAAAAGTGACATGCTAAAAGCAATCCGAGTTTAATAATGAGTACTTTCAACCAGTCGAGATCACAAGCTTTTCAACCTGGATCCGACTCTCGTTTTATATTCTCCAAGCTACATTTGTTGGATATTATATCAGCATTTTTTATCTTGGTTCTAATTATTCGCATAATATCAATTTCCACCGTTCAGCCTCGGAAATGTTTCGTTCGCGGTTACACGATGAGATACGTATGCCCCGTGTTTGTCTCCTCCTCCGCTCTTCGCACGGAGGGCGCGAGACGAATGGAGACAAAGAGAGGCACCAGATAAACGTAGATAAATCGGTACAAATATATATCGTCGCGTCGGAAAGACAGTGGGAAAGGGAGAGTAGACCTTTTCGCATAACCTCGCGTTGATAAAACGAAATTCCACCGTCGCGCGTCGGTTGGGAGAGGGGGTGGGGCAACCGCCCCCGACGCGTGACAAAACCCCGGAGTGTGTCAGAAAAATCGTCCGTTGTACGATATCGCTATCATTTGTGTGTTTTCCCAGAATATGCAACAGCGATATGCAGGTCATTATTGGCATATCATTAGACTGGGAGACCTTCTGCCCTTCCGTGTACAGATAACGTCGAGGTGGTAGGTACTTGAATCTCGTCATCGCTTTATCTCGTCTACTACGGCTTTACCAGATCCACAGAAAAATCTTCCCTTCCCGTCCGATCCACCAATATTTCTAGAATGATACATAAGAATAATTTGTATAGCGTTGTAGAAGAACGATCGATTAGTATTAAACGAGCATTAAATGCGAGTGCATAAAACGAATTTGTAGCTTTGTGATATTTTTTTACAGCGACAAAGCGATTACTTGAATTATAAGTAAGCCTAGAATGTATAATAACTTATACATTAAATGTATTAAATAGTAATAACAAATTTTTTTTCTCTACATCAATTTTTTTTATTTAATTTAAGTTTATTAGCGTATCAAATAAGTCATTTAAACTGTAAGCGTATCTGAATTAGACAATATTGTCAGTCACAAATAGCAGAGTAGATTTTGTTGCTTTCTGAGATTACGATCGGCAATTAACACCCTTGTCGCTTAATGAATGCCAGATGCTTGTTCGTGAAAAAAGCCATCGTATTCTAAAAACTTATCTTTCTCGCAGCTATAGATAATTTCTGGTTGGCATAACAAAGTGGAAAGCCGTTGGCGTAAGACGGTCGACGAAGAAGGAAAAAGCGTCACTTCATAAAAACTGTACCCCAAGGTAGCGAGCTAAAGAGGACGGAGCTCACGGAGCTAAAGAGAGTAGCATTAATAACGTTTATCGAGAAGCGCAATTAATACGCGTCGCTCGTCGCCCAAGTAATCTCTTGACGGGACATGCCCGAAGGCGAGGAAAGCATAAAGCAGTCATTTTGAAATTTACAACACTAATTCGCAAATGAAATCTGTGAATCTTCTGACGAAGAGGGAAAAGAGAAACAGCGCTGATATTTATTTTACATCTTTCTCAGCGTCATCAGACGTCTGCCGATTATTTTAAAACTTTAATTAACATACCGGTCTCTTTTTGCAAATTAAATCGTCAAACACGTGTTCCTTGAGCCGTATAATTGCGAAAATTCTAAATTCTATATATGTATATCGTAATATTTGAAATTTCACCTTTCACGAAAATTCTACTGATTTACTACAAATAAATTTCATATACATTTTAGCATTGATAATAAAATTCATATAGTACGATGGGATAATTATCAATAATTCTCCAATAAAATCTATTGACTGTTATTTTGAAACTTCAGTTAATACAACTTTGTTTTACATTTCATCAAATTAAAAATCGCCGAACATGTGAAAATTCAAGATTTTATGCTCGTAGCTTTTTGAATTCCATCCTTCGCCGAAATCTTGATTGTTATAAATTCGTGAATTCTAGCACTGATGGTAAAAAATCGTAGTATGATACGATGGTCATCAAAGGGCCACCCCGTCGCGTTAAAAATTACAAAACACGTAGCGGAAAAAATCCTCTTGCTTCTCGGTAGCACATACATTCACGAATCAATAACTCTGCAATACTATAATTTACGTATAAAATCGAAATTTCATGCTCATAGCTTTTTGAATTCCACTTTTTGCGGAAATCCTGATTGTTATAAATATTACGAATTCTAGCATTGCACCGACGGTAAAATCCGTAGTACGGTACGATGGTCATCAAAGGACCACCCTGTCGCGTTGAAAATTATAAAACACGTAGCGGAGAAAAACATTCTCTCGTTTCTCGTTAGTACATACAAATTAATAATTCTACAATACTAATTCTCACGTATAAAATCGAAATTTCATGCTCGTAACCTATTGAATTTCAATCCCTTCGCAATTCTGATTGTTTTGAAATTTTACATGGCGACAGTAAAATTCGTAGTACAGCGCGATGGTCATCAATGGGTTACCCCGTCGCGTTATAAGCTCCGAAATACATAGCGGAGAAGAAGATTGTCTCGCTTCTCCCGCTGGTACATACAAATCGATAATTCTGCTTTCAGTCGCGCCGGTGTGCAAGGAGGACCGAATTATAGTGGTCGGCGCATCGCGAGGTGAGTCGCTTGACATCGCCTGTAGGGTCGAGGCCGATCCGCCGGCGCACAATTTCCGGTGGAAATTCAACAACAGCGGCGAGACCCTGGAGGTAGCACCTGCTAGATTCTCCATGGAGAAGTCGAGCGGCGTCAGCGTGCTGAGATACACACCGTCCACCGAGCTGGATTACGGTACCCTCTCGTGCTGGGCGGACAATGTCGTCGGTACTCAGTCGAGACCGTGTCTTTTTCAGCTGGTAGCAGCCGGTAAGTATACACGATAAACTGCAGCGATGGTTAAAGGGACTTTACAGGACGAAATGTTAATGTTAAATTTTAAAATTAATGGGAAAAATTGATCGAACGCAGGGTATTGATCCTGACTGTTAACTATAAACTGTTTATTAACCGACAGTTTGTGTAGGATACGTTTGTCCTTCCGTTTCAATGTATTGTATCTCCTTTATTACGTTTGCAAGCAGCTAAAAGAGCAGCGATAAAAATCAAGTTAATCTAAATACGGACTAGCAAGCAAAATGATTGTTTTATCTTCGTTTTATCTCGTTAGAAATACTTTTTATTTAATTAGAATTTAAGAATATTAATAGGGACGGGGAAGAGGGTGAAAATGGAAGACACAAGTACTCGTACAATCAATGAAATGTAGTTTTTAAAACTACATTTGTCGGTGGAACGTTGTATGATTATTACATTAGAGATTATTGGATTATACCTAAAGTCGGCATACTTGTTCGAAATTGTGAACATTCCTTGTGTTTGAGGAAACAATGCAGTATATATAACTACGAGAGTTACGCGAATAAATAGATGACTGGCAAAGTATGGCGTGCCTTTTAAAATTTAAAGAAACATACTCGACATTTAGTTCGATACGCAAAATCATAGAAAAACGCTCGAATTAAACAAAAGCGGCACTCACAGCGCCGTGGCGCCTCATAATAAATTCTTTATCGGGTTATAAAATTAGGTGCATTTTTAATCGCGCGAGCTGTCCGCGCAAAAATCGCCAAAAACGTGTAGCGCGACGACAATTTGAAGCGCAAAATCGCTGTTTTTACGGGATCTCTTGGGGGGAAAAAGAGCGCGGCGCGATTCCCGCGAATCATCGCCGTACAATGGGAGGCGACCAATCATCGACCGTTAAATCGGCATTAATCCCCAGGCGAATTTTTCGCGTTTCCTAGTTCTCCTTTTTTTTCGCCCTCCCTCTCTCTCTCTCCCTCTCTCTCCCCCGTCTGTGCGTGATCGACAGTGACGTTGACATGGCGATCGGCCGAGGACGTATTGACGTTGACGAATACGTCGAATGTGAGCGGCGCCGATCGGGGTGTGCCCCTCGCCCTCTTGCCTCTCATATCCCTCCCTTCTCTCTCTTTCTCTGCCCCTCCCCCACTCGAAAATAAAATCGTCCGTCCTCCTTTCGCGCACCATCCGCTCCTTTGCCTCGATATCGAAACCCTCTCGCGGTGCTCCACCAATGCCAACGACCCGTAAACCGTTGGCATGATATTATTTTTGTACCTCTATCCGTTTCCTCTCTCCCTCCCTCCATCATCCTCCAACGTTATTGATGTCGGTTAGCATTCCGCGAAGCATTTCGGTAAGGAATATGCCCGTCGAAGCGTGGAAGAATGGTAAAAAGACGGGATTTCCGGGACAGGGTCTCGCGACAGAATCGAGGATCACGTTAGATGCCACTCGTTACGCATATCGAACATACAATTGGAATTCCGAAACGTTGAATTGGAATTTACGAAATCCCCAAACGCATGAATGAAACAAAGATATTCCATTTTCTCTCTCAAAAATCGCGATATGTAAAAATAGATTAATAATATCAATACGTTCCAAAAGAATTTTTTAAAACAGCGTCAAATTTTGTAAATAAGATATACAATATTAACCATTATGAATATAGTTTATAAGAGATTAGGTATTCTATTTAGCATAGAATTACTTACTCGTGAATAAATAATTTTCTGCAAAAAAATTTATCGCGATCCATTCTCTTAATAACTGATTGTGAGTGTAAAAATAAACTGTACATATTTTTTCTCGGTGTGGTCATATTACACGTGTTTACTTGACGTACTGATTTTTTTACGTGATTTTTGCGTAGAAAAATATTAAGAGAATACGCCGTTCTCTGCACGAGACATCCAGTTTGACGAACTTAGCCGCTTCTTTGTTTGCAAAACTAATTTGAATTTGTCTCTATTCGGGCGATGCCCTTTTACGAGCACGAAAGCGCGGGTTACAAATGTTTGTTCGCGGGGAATGGGGCTACGTGCGGCAAAGCGACATAAGAAACGGAAGGGTAAAGACGAGCGAGGAGAGAACAAGCGCGCGTAAAGTACAAACGAAGCATTGTCGAGATTCAATATACGTTTTGTAGATCCGCGAGTCATAACGAGGAGGAAGAGGGAGGACGACAACGACGACGACGACGACGACGACAACGACGACGATGACGATGACGACAGCGACGGACTTTGTGATAAATGAAATCTCGAGCGGATAAACGTGAAACTGGCGCGTTGAATATTGAAATTAGGTTGAAAGAGGAAACACGCGTATAACATTCTTGCGAAACGAAACGAGCGGTATCCGTCCTCTTTGCCACGGTCACGACCGATGACTTTCGGTAAGAACGACGCGCGAGAATTGATTTCGGCCAGAAGAAGAAAAAACGACGCGACGCGCCCTCATTCTCGACGAGGGAGGGAACGGCGAGATCCCGATGGCGCGAGCGGGAAGGATGTGTCACGCTGACAGTTGTAGTCGGCTCAGGCGGACCCGGAGGTGCGGGAAGAAAAAGAGAGCAGGACACATCTCTACGCCCATTACGATCCTGGTACACTAAATCTTTGCCAGTCATGGACACGCGAGCATTTTTCACTCGCGCGCCGGGCTTGATTTCCGAGAGTTGGCGCGGGTCGTTGAACCGGTTGAGCCAACCTGTAGAGCCGCTTTCGGATATATAGACGCGTACAAGATGTCCAGAAAATGTCACGAGACGGAAGTGGCGGTCGTGCGTGTCGCTGAGAAAGATTTAGTGTCAGGAGGCAACGGCTGCGGCCGCGAGAAAGAAAGAGGGGGAAAGCCTCTCGTGGAGCTTTTTCGGGGTCGAAGCTCCATTGTTTGCACGGGGCGACTATTTAAGCTGTACAGTTAAGTCACATAATATATGAACCGCCTCCCGTCAATATCCGTCATCGACCACTCTCGTTCCAGGGAAACCGTTTCCGGTACGCAACTGCACCTTGGCGAATCAGACGTATACCAGCGTAGAGGTGAAATGCGTGCCGGGATACGACGGCGGGCTACCGCAGAAATTCGTCCTGGAGGTTTATCACGGCGACGTCGATTACCTAGCCAGCAGCCAGCCCCTCTACAACGTCTCCAACCCGGACGAGCCGTCCTTTGCCCTCGCCGGGCTGGAGGCCTCGGTCGAGGCTGGGGTCCATGTGGCGGTTTACGCGGTAAACGCCAAGGGTCGAAGTCAACCCGTCATTCTCAGCGAGGTCACGTATCGCGATGCTGAAAAACGCACCGGTAAGTACGTGCTTCCAAGTGACGTTAACGCACCCCGTCGCATTTGTCAAATAAAATCGGAGACCAATGTTTGATCGCGACTGCGTTCTATGCGGCTGTTATTGATACGTGTCGACGAATCGACAATCTCGAGCGATGGATTGCGACTCGTCAGAAGGATCAACGTAGTACTAAATTGCGCGCCCCTGAAATTTTGTAATATTCTTGTCTCGTATTCTTCTTATTACGCCAATATTCTTCTTACGCCAAGATATTCCTAGCCAGGTCGATAGCGCGATACGCGAGCAGAATGGATTATCGCGATGACAGGATGAAAAATCGTGTATCGTCTATCACTTACAATTAGTCGGCGCGAGATCGAATCGTCGAGGAGAAGTCAACCGAGCTCAAGCCTGCTCAATTTAGCGGGCATCCGCGTTTGTTCGAAAATTGGCGAAAGGTGCTGGTTGGGTATACGGATCGACGCAAGGTCACCGTGGGTTCATATGGGTCTTTCGGGCGGGGGAGGATGATTCGGATAGCGGCTGTTCTCGAGGTGGGTGGTGTCAACTGTCGACGACGCGGCACGGGCGCGGCGCGGTAAACAAGACGGATCACCATCCTCGAGACAACGTTACGAGAGACGAATGCACCACGCCCCATTAGTTCGTATATATTGCGCATCGTTGCTTATCAAGGAAAGCCCGGAAACGCGCCAGAATTAACTCCGAAGAATATATATCAAATATTTCGTTTTTCTCAATTTACAGAAATATCCGATCGAGAGAGATTCTCTATGGTATTATACATTATGTAAAATCGATATCTATTTTTGATAAAGCGGTGTTTATGTAAAAGTGCATTCCTCTGTAATTGGATTTTATAAAATTTAGATGATACTCCAAAATTAAAAGAGAAGAAATACCAGATTGCGATACGGACCAATTATTATTAAATATCAGTTTTATTTTCGTTGCAGAAACGCCAGATTTGTCGATTTAGAGGGTTTTTTTATACATAGCAAAGGAAATCACTATTTTTACTGTAATTTGTCAATTTTCATTGTTTTGCATTTTTTTAATTAAGCTTCGAATTAAAATTTTCATGTTATTTTTTTATCGAATAGGGTGCAAAATGTTTTTTATATTTAACAAATGAAATTACGAGTTTAATTTAATTTTATATAATTAAAGTGCTAGTCATTTTGACTTGAATTTTCCCATTCTTCAAAAACTCTAAACTCTTATTTTTTTATTTAATAACACACAAGTTCTTAATATCTTTAAACCTTTTGCACTACAACTATTTAATATAAAAGCTGCAGAACATAAAATAAACCTCTTCTATCTCTAAAATTGTAAAATAAATCTAGAAAGTAGACTACTAATTATTTTCATTGTAAAGCGTGAGTATAGAAATAGGCGTATCTCAACACAATACAACGGGGAGTACGTAGAGGGTAACGCAACGAGAACGTGGCAATGTTACGAGAGCGTCACGTTGCGTATCATTAAACACGGTAGCAAATGAAGCCGCAACCAACTCGTGCTCGCGTAGGCAACGCAACGTAGTGTTACGTGCACGCGCATTCTCGTAAACAGTAGTTCTCGCAGTAGTCCGAGGTAAAACGGGCAGCACCCAAATCAATTGTCAGTGAAGTGATTTACGGTCGTCGCAGCGTCGATCAATTTGCCGCTCGATGGCGACCGACGCGGTTTTTCCGCGTGACTTTTGACCCTGTGGCTGCGAGCGCCCGCCAGTCCGCGTGCTCAAAAACAAATTGAGAAATCTGCATTCGAACGTGAGCCGAAGGAGATTCTGGTCGCCGCGCCGCCGCCGCCGCCGCCGCCGCCGCCATCGCCGTGCCGTGGTGCGATTTATTTCCGGTATCGATCACCCAAAGAGACAACTGTCGCCCGGAATTCTATCCCGTTCTGTACGTTCGTCACTTGTCGTTTATACGCGAAGAATCATGGAAGAGAAGCTGCGGCCACCGATTTTGGAAAAGACGGCGAATCTATCTTGCGCAGAAAGATCGAGAGGCATTATTAGACCACGCGAGAAATCGTGCAAATGGTAAACGGAGTATCTGTCGCGAAACACGACGTGCTTGACGGATTCGAACTTTTCACGCGATTTCACACAAGTCGAGGCGGCACTTAAGACGTTTCTAACTTATTACGCGAATTTTTTTGTTCCACCACATAGGCAACGAACATCGAATTAAGGAAAGCAATTACAGATAATGGTCCCAGCGGCACCCAGTGCCGGGACTGCGCGAAGGACTTAGGGCGAAAAAAGGAAGTAAAGCGGAACTGCAAAGGATAGAGAAAAAGGAAAGCCTATCCAAGAAAGATACGAATGTACAGGGTGGTCATTAAGCAGCTGCAGCTTTCCTTTCTCTCCGTTCTTGTGATATCTCTCTCTCGTTCCTGACCTCGACCGTTCTCTTTGACTTCCTCCCCCCCCCCCTCTCCCTCTCTCTCTCTCCCCCTCCCCTCTGCTCTCGTCTTTTTGGACATTAAGCCGTTGCGCGTGCGGTAATTTTCCCAGGGTCATTTTTGCCGCTCTTCTTGCCCGATCGTTAACTTCACTTAGCTCTGTTTACCCCCGTCGTCATTTTTCTCGGTCCCCCTCTGTCCCGCGCCTCTCCTTCGTCGGTCTCACTCCCCTTTTCCCGTTTCCTCGTTCATATTCCCGCCCGATTTCGCGCTTCTCGTTTCCACGAGTGACCTCGTCAGACGTCGCCGAAGCGCCCACATCTTTCCACATGCACGCCGCTACGTTTTCCCTTCCATTTCCGTTTTTATCGCGTAACCTCGCCCGGTTATTTCGTCCCCGACGGCGATGGCGCAGTCGCCTTTTTTTTCACGGTCCGGCGGAAAAGAATAATTAGCGCCACTATCCACCATAGCGTTTCTCGCTGAAAGTGGTTTCCTTCGGAGACTGCTTTAAATGTACACGGTCTCTTTCATCGTCGAAGCGGAAATCAGCGGACGATAGATCAGCGACTCGTTGAAAAAGTGTTCCCAGATTTCGACGATTACGAATATCGAGAAATGAAAACGGAAGTTACCTTGTGAGGCGAACTGGTAAACTCCAACTTAAGCATCTACGTGGCGTAATCGAAAAGTTTCGGAATTGGTCCTGTTAAAAGTAAACTTTATCGGTTATCGATACGAGCCCTTAATCCCTTTCGTACTTACTAGGTTTTTTTCTATACCCATACGTTCGTTCCAGCGGTTTTGCCATTGTTTGAAAGTTGTGTTTTTTTAATCGTTTTATGAGAGGAGCATTATTTATTAAAAAACGCTTATCGTCGCTCGCGAATCGGCGTATAACGCAAATAACAGAATTCGGAAAAAACGAACGAGCAACGTGTAACGATCAAATTTCTTCGGCTTTGCAGTTACTTGTTATACGCCCTCGTCAACCTCTCACGACAACAATTCTCGTCCGAGATGTTTGCGAAACTGTCGCTCGAAGACCTGCGCGAATTTTAACTAGCGCCGCAGTTTGCGCTTGACGGAAAGAAGATTGTTCGAGGGATTGCTAGTCGCTCGTGCGACGATATTTATTTCTTTTCTGTTTCTCGTACAGACTTTGGAATTGAACGTAGTTATACTTATAAGACGAAAGTTGTGCAATATATAAACTCCGAAACCTAGTTCTTTAGATGTAACTCTTAAAAAAAAAAGTATTACAAATGAATTCCTACTCTAATAATGTATCATCAGGAATAATCACTGGATCACAATTCAATTTAGGTATTTTCTTAAAATAATACACTAACTTTCCTCAAATTTTGAGCCGAAAATTTCACAAACGAATGTATATTCCATGTTACAAAACTATATCTAATTTACAGCGAACGCTGTGAAAATTTTTAATTACTTTGAAAATTAAAAGCGCGATTCATCATCCGCGCACATAGACTAATAACGTTTTTGTTTATAATGAACACCGTCCTTTGTACTCAGAATTATAAATGTCGTGACATTTATAACCGATTTATACGTAATTACCTTAGTCCGGGAGTACGCACCGTCCCTTTCCTTTTTTCTCTTTTAACTTGAAGGAATTTGCAGGGTAGATTTATTATCCTACCGCTTTATCTACGGAAGACAATTATTTAAAAAGTGTTATCCTTGTGCCGATTTAAATCTCGTCAATTAAACAACGAACAGTTGCGAGTACAAACGCGATCTGTGCGGCTTACATCGTGCGGCGTGCTACGGAGGATGGGAGGATTGATTCGGGCGATCCGCCGGGTTAATTCGGTCGAAACGAGCCCGCGGGTATTCGAATTACAGCGGCATCAAGCAGAGGTCTCATAGAGGTACGGTCGTATCAGATAAAGGGTACCATCGACGTCGATGCCACGCGACGCGACGCGACGCGACGCGACGCGACGCTTCCTACAACAATTGAGATTAGAACTCGCCGACTCCGAAATCTTCCCAGTCGTCGACGATCGAAAGACCGAAACCCTCTGCTGCCCCTCCTTCTGCCATGAGCATTTATTACGGACAGGCTGCTCAAGATCTGTGGCCGTGCCTTGCCGCAGAACTTGGTCCTTTCATCTCGACTGTGCAAGCCAGACCGGGAGCCAATCCACTCCGTATGGCGGGATTGCGGTGGTAATTGCTGTCCGATTTCGCCTCGACACGCACCATCAAGCGTGCTTGTATACGCGTATACGTATATTACGTAATACGTTTAATACGCACGTACGAAGAAAAGATCAACGATAACCTCTCCAAACTTGCCAGATCTGCTGATTGCAATTAGAAGAACATTGCATGTCGAAACCACCATATGTTAATTCCATAATTTAGTGTGGATAATAGTTATCTGAAATATTTTTACCCTTCTTATACGTACAGAGTGATACGTTCTTTTATTAATATTCGCAATTGAGTGCAATGACGATATCTAAGATAACTTTTTAATACGTTTGACGTAGAATACGTTTCCTGCTTCCTGAAATTTTCATAAGCATCTCGTGTCTTCGAAATGGT